CGAATTTCGTATTCGTAGTCACTGAGTAGCTCGACCCACCATCGTTGTCTCATGTTGAGCTCCTTCTGGTCGGATATATGTTGAAGGCTCTTGTGGTCTATAAAGATAGTGTTTTTTGTACCATACAGATAGTGTCTCCAGATCTTCAGAGCAAACACCACTGCTCGTAACTAAAGATCATGTGTGGTGTAGTTGACTTCGTGTGTCTTTAGCTGTCTTGAGGCATAGGCGATGACCTTACCTCGTTGCATCAGAACACAGCCAAGCTCTTGGTTGGATGCATCGCAATATACCACGAAGTCTTCTATCCCTTATGGAAGGGATAGTATCGCTGCGGTGCATAAGGCTCGTTTTAGCGTTTGAAACGCCTTTTCTTGTTTCACTTCCCAGTCAAAGGCCACGCCCTTCTAGGTCAATGTTGTAAGCAGTTTCGCAATCCGAGAGAAGTTCTGAATGAACCTGCGATAGTAGCCAGCGAGGCCTAGAAATTGAAGAATTTCTGTAGGCGTCTTCGGTGCTGACCAGTTCTCAATGGCCTTTATTTTGGAAGGATCAACGTGAATTCCCTCTTCGAATCCAAAATTCGCATTTATAGAACTTTGCATAAAGCTTCTCTGATCGCAGTGTTTCTAAGACCTAACGTAGATGTTGACTATGCTCCTCCTTACTACGAGAGTAGATAAGTATGTCATCGATGAATACAATGACGAACTGATCCAAGTAAGGACGAAACACCCTATTCATTAAGTCGATGAATATTGGGCACATTGGTCAATCCGAATGGCATCACCACAAACTCGTAGTGTCCATAACGAGTTCGGAAGGCTGTCTTCGAAACGTACTCCTCTAACACTCGTAACTGGTGATACCCGGATCTCAGATCTATATTCGAAAAGTAATTCGCCCCTTGAAGTTGGTCGAACAAATGTTCTATGCGAGGCAAAGGGTAACGATTCTTGACGGTCAGCTTGTTCAGTTCTCAGTAGTCGATGCACATACGGAACGATCCGTCTTTCTTTTTGACGAACAAGACCGGTGCTCCCCAGGGTGAGAAGCTTGGTGTAATAAAGCCCTTGCTGAGCAATTCGTTAAGTTGACCAGATAGTTCCTGCATTTCAGCTGGTGCTAGACGATAGGGAGATTTGGCTACTGGGTAGCCCCTGGAACTAAGTCGATTCTGAACTCGACGTGACGTTGTGGAGGTAATCCTGGTAGTTCTTCTGGAAAGATGTCGGGGAAATCGCGTACCACTGGGATGTTCTTTATGTCCTTCGTCTCTTGGCTCACATCGACAACATGGGCAAGGAATGCGCGACATTCCTTTCGTAAGTACTTCTGGGCTTGTATGCTCGAGATGATGCGAATGTTCGTGTCGGGATTGTCGCCGTATATCACTAGGGTTTCGCTAGACGGTAGATTAAGACGAACGGCTTTCTCATAACACATGATGTCGGCACGATGAGAACTCAACCAATCCATGCCGATAATGACGTCGAAACTCTTAATTGAGACCGGCATGAGGTCGATTGGAAATGAATGGCTATCTAGAGTTAGTGTAGATCCTATGTATATGCAGCTAGTGCTCTCAGTCTTTCTGTTAGCCATTTCTACAGTGAATGGTTCTTTAAGTGCACGTGATTTTTGTTTAAGCAAATGAGCAAATTTCTGGTTCACGGAACTCCTCTCTGCTCCACTATCAAACAGTATACATGCATAATAGTTATCGAGGAGAAACGTACCAGTGACCACTGTAGGGTCGACAACTGCTTCCTCGTGGCCTATAGCTAAAACTCTTCCCACTCCGCCGGCATTCCCTGCCTTCGGGCAGTTTCTCTTGTAGTGGCCCACCTCGTCACATCTGTAGAAAGCCTGGCCCACACCAACGCCGGGGGACTTGGGTGATTGGCCTTGCCGGAGCCTTGCAGAAACGGGCAGTGTGCCCCTTCCTGTTGCAGTTAGAGCACTGCATTTCCCGGCAGGGTCCATTAATGTGGAAGCTGCATTTGTTGCACTTAGGCAAGCTTCCAGCATACTGCTTCACCGGCGCAGTAGCAGTAGGCGTTATTGCAGCATGAACAACTACAACCTACTGCTTTTTGGCAGCTTTCTGTGTCTCGTTCTTCTTCTTGTTATCCCATAACTTCCGCTTGTTGTCAGCGGATTTGGAGGGTTCTGAGATGGCTAGGGTTATTGTTGTTGTCGGGGTACGGACTCCATGATCAAATGAGCCACTATGCCAATCGCTTGGCACTGTCGAAGGTAGTGGGGTTTGAAGCTAATACATTCCCCTGAAATGGAGGCACCAGCCCCCAGATATACCTCTCTATCTTCTTTCCCTCAGTAGGGACCATTCTCGGACATAGTGCCACAAGATCGCTGAATCTGGAAGTATAGGCCACTATGTCGGAGCCCTTCATGGTTAGGATCCAGAGTTCCTGTTCAACTTTTTGAACTTCGCCCCTCGAGAAGTATTCCTCGATCATGAGCTCCTTCAGAGCTTCCCAGCCCATAGCATTTGCCACTATTAGAGTTAGTGACTTGCCTTGGCTATTCCACCATGTCAGGGCTCGGTCCGCAAAGGTGCAGGTAGTAAATTTAACTTTGCTCCCTTTTGGACAGGAGCAGAACTAGAAGATCGACTCCGTTTTCTCGAACCATTGCGAGAGGGCAATGATTCCGCCAGTCCCATTGAAGGTTTTGGGTTTGCAGTTGGTGAAGTCCTTATACGAGCACTCTCTAGAGCGCATAATAGCATCACCTGGAGTGGAATGCACATTAGTTCCACTCCCGCTAGTACCGATAGTGTTGAATTGTGCTAGGGCTGCCGTAACAGCGACATTCACAGCAGCTTGAATTGCTGAAGGATTGTATTGTGGAGGAGGTGGTGGAGTTTGATTCGGAGTTATTGGAGTAGCGCGCCTGTTCGATCTACGATGAGACATCTTGTAGCTATAAGATCACAAAGATGAAGATATTGGTAAGTATTCAATAGAGAGAATGATGAGAGTGAAACATGGACTAAATCTCGATAGCCCAACAAAACAGATGAAAGTATGATTTAGCGGGGTCAATCGGGTAAATTTTTTGGGTTTCGGGTAATTCGGGTCGGGTAATTCGGGTAATTCATATTAAAAGATTTACCCGTTACCCTACCCAAACTAAATTCGGGTAATTTGGGTAGTGGGTCGGGTAAGGGTAATTCGGGTATTACCCGATTTTTTTTAAATGGGACCTCAAAATAAATTTAATGAAATATGTATGTCGTGCTCAAATTTTGAACATTGAGATTTTTTACTCAATAATATTTGAGATATCAAGTATTAGTTTAACGATTTAATCAAATCTAATAAGATGTTAAAAAAACAAATACTTAAAAGAAATAATAACAACCAAAGTCAATCATTTAAATTATTTGATATCAATGTATATGCATATATTTTGCATTTACCAAAAAAACTCACGTCTTAAATCTAGAAAACATAGAAATCCACTACATATTATGAAAATAATAACATTCAAGTTCCAAAAGACATTCATAAATATACTCGTCTTCTTGCACCTACTCGTTCTTCTTGCACATTCACTACTTCATCTTGCTCAATTCTATATAAAAAAAGTCAAATAACGTTAGTATTAAAAGGAAAATATATTAAATTTACAATAATTAAAATAATGAACGATAAACAATTACCTTTGTCAATTTGTTGATTTTCTTCCCAATCTTTTTCATAATCGATTGTGTCACTTATGCTACCCCGAATCGAGTCTTGTGTACAAATTAAACTTTCAACAATCTTAGGAGTCAAAGAACTCCTAAACGGATCCAACACCCTCCCACTAGTGCTAAAAACGGATTCCGAAGTCACGGTTGAGACGGGAATGGCAAACACATCTCTTGCCATCAATGATAGAACCGGGAATCTTGGACTATTCACTTTCCACCAATCTAGAATACTAAACATTTCTGAGTCGTCTTCAACACTTTCTTGCAAATACTTTTCTAACTCCCCAATTGATTTAACTATGTCCGTCTTCATCTTTTCTCTTAGTTTATTTCTTAATGGGGGGTTAGGTGCCATAAAATCCGGGTTTTGACGTTTCCCTAGTATCGATGATGAAGTGGTAGACTCGGCAGTACTTGAAGTAGAACTTGGAGAATGAATTCTAATATAATCATTATATAATTCATACATAGAATCCATGATATATTTCTTTTTGGCCTCCACCCCCTTTTCTCCATAACGTTCCTCAAGTAGTATAACCAAATACTTTACTTTGTTCCTCGGATCAAGAATCAAAGCAAAGTAGAGCAATAAATTCATTTTTTCTATGTCGCCAAAATACTTATCAAACTTTATTTTCATGGCCAATGCAATATCACAAAGACTAGAATCGGAAATAGCATCATCCAAGAGCGTACGAATGGAATATATATCTTCAATGCATGTGTTTGATGTCACATAAAGTGTCCCGGAAATCCTCAAAGTAACATCATGAAAAGGTTTTAAAAAATGACATACATTCCTAACCCTTTCCCAATCGCTTGATGAAGGTATTGACAAACCCGCCTTTTCAATTTCATACCAAAAATCAAATTCCTCAAGATCATATCTCTCAAAAGTTTTTTCGTAAGCTTGGGCAGTTTCCAACATATGGTAAGTGGAGTTCCATCTTGTTGGCACATCTCTTTTCAAGTGTTTTGTTATACCGGGATTAGCAACCTTAGCAAACTCGATAAACTTATGAATTCTAGAAGGCGATTGCCTAATCCATTTAATCGCCCATCGAACTATCTCACCGCCTTATCAACTTTTTTTATGCCATCTTGCACCACTAAATTTAAAATGTGGGCAATACATCGAATGTGCATCCATTTCCCATTTAGAAGACACTTGTTAGAGTTTTGAAAACTTTTTTTTCAAGAAGTCAATTGCCACATCATTCGCACTTGCATTGTCAACAGAAATTGTGAAAATGTTTTCTATTTCCCACTCCGTTAATCATTTCTCAACCATTTTCCCAATATCAACCCCATGGTGACTCTCTTGAGAAGAAAAACACAACACTTTTTCTTTTAATTTCCATTCGTTATCAATAAAGTGGGCGGTGAGACACATATAACATGATTGTTGTTTAGAAGTCCACGTATCAGTGGTCAAACATATTCTACCAACATTTTTTTTAATAAAGTCACGAATTTTTTCTTTTTCCTCTACAAACAATTGGTAGACATCCGTTGTGCTTGTACTTCTACATGGAACTTTAAACAATGGTTGATTAACACTATTGTAATACCTAAAGCCCGCACCTTCTACAAAGCTAAAAGGAAGTTCATCAACTACCAACATGTGGGCTAGAGCTTTCCGACTCTCATTTTGATCAAATTTCCAAGCTGACAATTTGTTTTCATCACCATATTGGAAAGTTACTTGTTTTTGCCCACCATGAAGTTTAGCCAAGTAAACTTTACATTTATTTAAATGATAACCTAGATTTTTGGTCCCATAACCACCCGATTCACACTTATAATTCCCACCACCACAATGCTTACATTTGCATCTTTGAACACCCTTTTCATCCTTATACCTTTCAAATTCATTCCAAACTTTCAATCTTGGGTTGAATTCGTTAGTTTTTTTCTCTTTTTCTTGTGGAACTTGATCATTGGTTGGGTTGTCAACTTCAATCGTCTCGTCTTCCACTTCGATATAGTCATCCGTTTTTGACATCTAAAACAAGAAAAAAAACAGAAAAACTGTTAAAAAAACATAAAAAACAGAAAAAAAAATTATAAACAGGAAAAAAAAAGATAAACTGCTGATGTAAAACATATTTCATCAATAATAGGCTAGCAAAATATTTCAATGAAAACGATGAATAACATATTTCTATGCAAAAAACTCAAAAAAAAAAAATATGTGCTTTACACAGTTATAACATTGTATTGTTGTTTGACCTTTAGTATTTTTAATTTACATTTATAAAATCGTGTGTGAAATGAGAATGTATAATATTTCATGAAAAGGACTCCTTAACAATCACTTTTGGCGATTTCAAGGACCACAAATGTTGGGCAGGTAACGTTTAATATATCGATTCCTGATTATAAAATTGAAATTTTAAGCGTGAGGAACGTGTGCAAACAGTGTCCACTAACATTGTCTTTTTCTATTCATTAAAAAAAGAGTTACAAATTACAATGACAAAATTTTGCTTTCCATTTTAGCCTTTTATAATTATCAAATATTTATATACTAAAGCAAACGATAAATTTCATTTTAGCCTTTATATTTTTGCAAAAAGAATATAAATTTCATTTTAGCCTTTGAATTTTTCTACAACTAAATAAAAGAAGAGATGAACCCCAACAAAGTTATAACTTTTCTTTTGGGTGAATCTTTTCTAGTTTATGATATATATTATACTAAACATTTGAACAAATTGTAAACTGTAAAATAAAAGCAAATTGTACACATTTGAACAAATTGGGAAACTAATAGTATTATTTCTTTTGGGTGAATCTTTTCTAGTTTATGAATTCCTTGTCCAGTTATGTATTTGACCTCTTTTAATTGTTTTCCAATGCAACTGGAAATATAATTTCATTTGCTTATTCTTATATTATAAACATAATGTTTTATGAATTACTTCTCATCACCCAACGCAAAGTTCAAAAAAAATTCAGCAATAATTGTGGATCAAGCTCTCAATTCTATAGTAAAACCCACCAATTTATCTACAAAAGAATATCATCAGATTTGGAAAACAAATATAACCGAATGAAAGCTAAAACAAATAATACTATTAGTTTCCCAAACACACACAGACATAGGGCCTGTCGCCATGCCAAGCATAATCAAGATTCAAGATGAATCCCAAAAAATTGTAAACTGTAAAATAAAAGCAATATTTTTGCTTTTTCTTTAAATCGACAAGAGCCTCATTCAAAGTTGCACTAGTTTTCTAATTTTCTACGTCAAAAAGAGAATCAATTGGTTGTAATTACTTATATTTGAGTTTGAAGTTCAAATCCGTGATTTTTTTCCTGGAGTGGTGACGAGCTGAAGTGACGATGCGACGAGCCGACGAACACCTGATGACCGGCGAGGCGGCGGCGAGCCGACGACCACCTGATGACCGGCGAGGAGGTGGCGGCGAACAGCTGAAGTTCATCGACGGTGGCGAACGAAGAGGCAGACAAGGGTTTTTTTTGTATGTAGAGAAAATAGAACGAGGTAAATTGGGTTGTGATTTGGGAATTGAGACGGATAAAAGGGATATTGCCATATTGGGCCATTATTTGTTATATATATTTCGGGTAATTCGGGTATACCCGAAACCCAATACACTTACCCTTTACCCGACCTGAAAAAAAATCGGGTTACCCAAATACCCGAAAAAATTAACCTGATACCCGAATTACCCGATACCCGAAAAAACCGGGCGGGTAATTCGGGTAACGGGTATTTTCGATAGGGCTAATATGATTGAATTAGAGATCTAGCAATAGAAAGATGAAAGCATTTGGATAATAATTTCCCATGAGATTAGGTATTTGTCAATAATTTTGTGATTTCTTTCTAGAATCATACCGACGGTTGATTCGTGCGCGATACACTGTGGATCGAAAACGTTTTGCGGTTCCAACAATTTTTTTGAATTGAAAATTTGCTCAAATTGGATCATTGGCATTAAAGATGGAACAAGTTCGGGAAAAATGACCTAAGAGTAGGTCTTACATCAAACCAGAATAGGAAATTTAAACAAAACTGAGACCTAACAGACTGAAAGTCCAAGGTTTTTAAGATAAACAGGAAATTACAGGGAAAAGTGCTACTTAGAGCATAGATAAGAAGGCTATTCCATAGATAAAAAGGAAATATGAGCAGAGCATCTCCTACTGGCGACGGGAACCCCTCGGGCGAACCCTTAAATCAGCCATCTGACGCTCCATATCAAGAAGGCGTCACTCATACACTCACTGGCGTACACGATGTTCTATGACTTCAGCTCGAGTCACAACTAGTTCTTGCAGTAGAGACTTATTGTCTCTCGCAGATCTCTTGCGAGCATCTTCCAGACGACGAATGCGGACAGTATTGACTCCCGCATTGGCATCAACCTGCATGACTCGGTTGATAGCTGTCCTACCCTGCTCTTCATTACGAGCAACCCTGTGGACCAGAATAGGCAAGATTTTGTCCGCTGAGCCTCCCTCTCTCAGGTTGTAGAAACTTTTGTCTCCGTTGTAGGGCATGGACTGACCCTGTTCTTGACTCCATGTTCCCAAGTTTTCCGCCCACAGAGGTGTCGGGCCTTGAAAAGCCGGATGAGGGTTAGGATTTGGGATTGGAGCTACCAGAGGTAAATGTTTGTAAACATCCTAGAAAGTCCTATATTTTCTACTAAAGTAGTCTTCTACCAAGACCCAACTGTTCTTTATGTTTGTTCTTTTGTAAAAGTGAGTGTTTTCCCAAAGTATGACTATCATTAACAAAATATAGTTTTCATTACCGTTTATATGAGAAGATCACAATGTGAATGAAATGGGAAAATAAAGATGTACTGTAGTTTTATCTAAGTAACTACCAATGTACTAACTACCTTAAACCTGTTTGTTTAATTAAGGTAAAATATGATAAGATTGTAACCATACTTGATTGACTAGTATAACACGACGTTCACGACGTCGAAATGGTATGATATTCGTCACCCGTAGACCTGTAGGTCCCACTGTAGCTAGTAGCAAGGTGTAGGATGGTCAATCCCGTATAGATCTATACACAAACTCACGCTTTCCCTCCAGGAGACTCTCGGTACAAAACGTGACACAGCAGTATATTTTCGCGCCATGAAGTAGTGGCTCACATTATTGTTATAGTATTCTTGTATTTGTATAATATGTTCTCTTTGTCTAGTGTATAGTTGATGTGTATAAAAATGCACTGGTTTTATCCTACTTTTAATTATGAATTTGATACACAAAAGGCAGTGGACCTGTCAATTGGTGGTATAAATTAGCAAGCAGGGTATCGAACTCAGGGAACGGAAATTAATCTAACTACTAGAATTATCTAAAACAATTAGTAAAATGGAAGGGTTTTCTCTAGTTTTGCAAGACTAGAAACTTAACTGAAACTTAACTAACAGCTAAAAGCAAGTAAAAATCAACTAAATTCAATAATCAAAAGGGTTTCTGTTTATGTTCGATTCATTTACTCCTATGGTTAATTTTATGGGAATGAAATGGATTAATTGTTATTGGTTACCGACTAAAGTGATTAGATTCACATCCGCTATTACCAATCCTTAGAAAACAAATTAATTTAAGTAGTGATCAAGTGACTAAACTAATGAATTTCCTAGTTTAATTATTCGGATTAAATAAGACTTGTAATTGGCTAATTAAATTAGTAATTCAATTAACCCATTGTTGATGGTTTATCAAACAAGCTCTCTTATTAATTTACCCATTCTCTAGTTAATCCTAGTTTCACATTCACTATTCCTAGGCACATAACAATGTGTTCACATAAATCACATGAGATAAGTAATTAAAAGATGTTCATGCAGCTTAATTACTTAGCAATTAATAGAAAATAGTTGTGGTTAATGCATAAGGGTCTTTAACAAGCTTAATTTAACAAAAATTCAACAAATAACAATCAATCCAAACATAAATTAATCCATAGGAGCAAACTTATCTACCCTAAACAGAAACTAACGAAATTAGTTCATAATTACAGCAGATAAAAACCTAAAAACGAATTCAATCAATCCAAACATGGTTCTATTCAAAGATAAAGTGGAAAAGTAAACTTATATTGCCTTAATCTTCTTAGAATTAAGGATTAGGGTTCTTCTCACGTTTCTCAGGTCTCCAGCAGTCTCCTTAGTCGCCAAGTAATCTTCCAAAAGGCCGGAGAGAGTTTTGGACTCGGAATTCACATCTATTTATAGTTTTTAGAAAACAGAGGCTACTCGTCGAGTAGAAAACTGACTCGCCGAGTCCCCTCGAAGAATCTGTGTATGGTAAGGACTTTGTGTTTTACTTCGCGAACGTTCGTGCCTACTCGTCGAGTAAACGTCCCTAATCGCCGAGTACTTCAGGATTTTGGCTCTTTTTCTTCTTTCTTCAATTCCCGAACTTCCGAATGCATCTCCTGCGTCGTTTTGCTTCCGAGCATATCTTTTGGACTGAAAATACAATTTAAACACAATTAAGCACCTTTTGTCCATAAATTGAAAATAATTAGCCAATAAATAATAAAAATCTATACTAAATATATAGCTAAATATGCACATATCAAAATACCCCACACTTGACTTTTTCTTGCCCCCAAGCAAAACTGAATTTTAACATACTAATACTACATAAGACAATCCCAATTAAACCCAACCATTATGCCAAGACCGCAACTCATGCATTTGTGTCTAAAGTTTTTCCTAAGGACCCCCTCATTTCTAAATACTCACAATCCTCATAAACACTCTCCCAGTTCTTTTGAACAATGCTCATTTTATGCATCCCTCCGAATCCATCAACAGAAAACCTGCTAGCCTCAAGGTATTTTTGGTTGAGCAACCCAAGCATACATAATCTAGACAATTACACTTTTTCGATACCACTATGGAACTCTTTTGGAATTCTTCACTTCTTGGATATTTGATCTTGATTTCTTTGAATTCACAACTTTTTTGATTTTTGGTATCTTCCACTTTTGAACTTTGGAATTTTTGATCTTTTGATCTTCACTTTGATTGCTCCAAATTCTTACAACTTTTTCTTGTAATTCTCTCTTTTTTTTCACATGTAACTCATTTTTTTTCACTCAATACCTACATGCTTAAGCAAGGGTGCTCAACTTCAACCTTTATTGGTTAAAGTATTAGTCTTCCTGGATACATTTCAAGTACATGATGCTAAACTTATTGCATCCCTCAAACTAAGCGAGGTTGTGTTTTTGTCCCATGATTTCACTAGAATAAAGGGGGCCACAAATGCATTATAACGTATATAGGCTCAACTAAACATTTGGGTCTTCATGCAATCATCAAACATAACACTAGCATGGAATCCTATTTGCTTTTTAGCAAATTTTTTAAATTAAGTCCTAGCAATTTTTATGCAACAAAAAAATTAAGCCTAAGGATTAAGATTCTAATTCAACTAATGTGACCAACCCCCTACCCCACACTTAATTCATGCAATGTCCCCATTGCATGTTATGTATGATAAAGAACATAAAAGTAAAGAGAGAATTGGAACAAACTCCCCTGGGATAGCAGTCGCGAGGTTGATTTTCTTCATTGAAAGCTCCATCTTCAATTGGCTTTAGACATGGGAACAACTCATCCATGTCTTGGGTGTCAAATATCGTGTGGTATAGCTCAAAATATGCAGGAAAATAGTCTTGAAAATCTTCAGGAATTAATCTTCAAAGAATATGAGCAAAGCCTGTGTCATATGTGGTCAAAATCCAAGTTTTGGGTAGTGGAATATTGAGTGGCTCTCCAAGTAACTACGGCTGCTCGACGAGAAGAAGGGCTTTTAGCATAAAAGTCGTGGTATCGCAAGAGGACTCGCCGAGCCCAACTTATGCACTCGCCGAGTACAACGCTGAGTTATAAATAAATCTTCTGTTTTTTTAGTCCGTTTCTGATGTGATTGGGTATGGCAATTTAGTGTCTCTCCTTCATTTTTCTTCAATAAATAACACTCTTAAACCCTCTTTGATAACAGACTCGACCTTAAACTCAAAACTTGCACATTCTCATCTAGACCCGACCCTTACTCTAGCCTTGATATTTGAGACCCTTGCATGCATCCTAGCTTCAATCTGAAAAAATAAGAGCAAACACAAGTGATAAAAAAACAAACTCCTACTTTAACGTCCTAAAAGTTCAAAACCCACAAAACAAAAAAAAAAGTTTCAAGCATCCAAATTAAAAACAAAACATAACATCAATCTTCATCCTCCTATTCGTTTCCTCCAGTTCCACTTCCACCAGCTTGGTTCCTTCTTGCTTGCACTCTATCCTCCCAACTTGGCACATAGGGAAATCCGAGTCCGGGCCTTGGTGCGATATTCATTTGTTCAAATAAATAAACAAATGATTCGCTGTTGTAGTTCATGCTTCTTCCAAGGTCGTCCTGGTACCTTCTTACCTGCATGTTGTACCAGTCCATGGGTAACTCTTCTTCAACCGGAATGACCGGTGGGTCTTCACGGACGTGCTCCCTTCTTGGCCTTGCCCTCCTTCCCGGTTCCTCCGGCATCAATACCTCATCTGCAT